GTGGAGGACTGCCTAGGCACCCAGGCTCCATCTGAGCACACAGACTGTGATGGAGTTCTTGTGGGCCCCGAAGGTAGGTGGGAGTGGGGATGGCCACACCTCCATTCACCAAGCGGGTATAGGGTGTAGTAACAAGAAGAATGTCATACCTTTTCAGTCTTGCAGGCCCCAAGTGTCCTTGGGGTTGCTGGAAAGCAGAACGTGATCTTAAGCCCCAGAAATCTGCGAGAGCACTGTCTCTTTAAATATCCAAAATAGTCAAGCCTCTCTTTAAACCTTCAAAATGGCGGCACCCTCCGGACCTGCAAAAGCCCACAGCTCAGCCCACCTTTCTTTTCATCTTCTCTGTTTGTTCCCCAGCCACCGTACACAGTCCTCCGTGCAGTCCCTGACTAGCAGGGGATTTTTAGGTTAATTCTTAAGTCCTACCATCACAGGATTCTGCGAGAGCACTGTCTCTTTAAACATCCAAAATAGTCAAGCTGCTTTTTAAACGTACAGAATGGCGGTGTCCTCCGGACCGGCAAAAGTCCACAACTCAGCCCACCTTTCTCTTCACCTTCTCTGTTTGTTCCCCAGCCACCGTGCACAGTCTTCTGTGCAGTCCCTGGCTAGCAGGGGGGTTTTAGGTTAATTCTTAAGTCCTACTGCCACAGGAATCTGTGAGAACGCTGTCTCTTTAAATATCCAAAATAGTCAAGCTGCTTTTTAAACCTACAGAATGGCAGCATCTCCAGACCGGCAAAAGTCCACAGCTCAACCCACCTTTCTCTTCACCTTCTCTGTTTGTTCCCCAGCCACCGTGCACAGTTTGTGCAGTCCCTGGCTAGCAGGGCGATTTTTAGGTTAATTTTTAGGTCCTACCACCACTCACGAATGTCCAAGCCTTTTGTGCCATCAGGGGCGCTCAGGTCCCTGCCAGATCACAGCTCCGTATGTCTCCTTTTTTGGTATTTTCGTGCAGATTTCTTCTGCTAATTGGGGTTTAGTCTACTTCTGTATCCTTCCCTTCAGGGCTCAGGGGTCCAAGATTATCTTCTGTGTCTGTGTCAATTGGTTTCCCTTTTCTTTGTTGAAGAGGGTCTGTGCAGTCCTTCTGCCTAGTCTGCCATCTTACGGGAACTCCTAATACTTTACTTTGTCTTCTTTAGCTGCCCTTTGAAATCTTCTGTTCAGCTTTTAGTTCATCATGTCTTCTGTTTGTTTTAGGTATTTCTTCTGGTTACCTAGTGCTGCTCTGACAAGAATATACCACAAATGGGGTGGCCTTAACAAACAGGAGTTTATTCTTACAATTTGGAGGCTTTAAGTCTGAGTTCAAAGTGCCAGATTCTAGGGGCTGGGTGAAAGCCCCTCAATCTTGGGCTTCAGCTCGGCCTCCTGCTTCCAGCCCAGTGAGGCTGGAGGCTTTTCTTCACTCAGCTGCTGGCTGCTGAGGCTGACAAGCCCAAGGTTGACAAGTAATAAGGCACAGTCCTGATGTTACCAAACACATGGCAGGCCATTAATTCAAGTCCATTGAAAGTCCCATGGTCGGCAGAGCATGGCAGGCTGCTGAACAATGACACTGCTACATGCAGAGTTTAAGTGTGTCATAAGCTAGAGACCGTTCCCCAAGGCTTCTCCTTATATACAGGAAGCAGACCACATCCCTAAGGCAGCTATTCAGCTGCTCACAGTAGCCCCTGGTGAACACCACTTCTTTAAAAAAAAAGAAAAAAATTTTCACTCCTCTCATTTTAAAAATAAATAAATAAATTATAAATAAATGAATAAGTTGTAGTAAATGTATCCAATACTTCTAATCCATGTCTACTCATGGAGAATTAGAAAGGTCTCCTGTCACTTACACAGAGAGCTGCTATCACAGGCAGAGAGGTACTGTGAGGCAGGTGCCTTCTCTTATGATTGTAGGTGTAAGGACAGGCATATTAGAGTGGCCACAGTTCCCCGTCTCTTGGATTCTCTATAAGCCATCTCATTCATTCGTTTCTATCCCACCTCCATAGATGCCGCCATGAGAGATGACATGAACAGCTACATCAGTCAGTACTACAATGGGCCCAGCAGTGGTAAGTCTTTGGGACAGTACCAGAACCTCTGTCACAGCCACATGCTACATGCAACCTCTGGCAACCCTTGAAATCGAGGCTAGGGATGGCTCAGCCTGGCTTCAAAGATCAAGACCTGCCCAGTACCTGTGAATCATACATATAGGCAGAGAACAAGGCATATTTGGCTCTCAGCAAACTCCAGCAGTGGACCTGAGGGAACCTAAGGTCTGAGGCTGTAGCGCTGGGCTGGGGGGTGCTCTGTGATCACTGGTAGGGGATCCATGTGCAATCCCAAAATGGAAAGGGTTCTGGAGTCTAGCATTCCAGTTGAACTCGGCACCTCCAAACCTGAGCAGCTTTAAGGGTGAGAGTAATGGAGGATGAGATAACACAGTATAATTGAGCTTGAGTAGTAGCAGACCTTGGACATGACCTTGCTTGATTCCTATTGCATTCTTGCCCTTGAAAAAGTCTCAGGGAAGCCCAGTGGCTTTAACTTATGAGAAAGTTTGAGTTTAAAAATTGTACCATCCTTGAGTGTCTTGTCTGCCTGTAGTAGATGTCTTAGATCTTGCAGTTTGAGTTTCTCAGCCCTTACATCCTTGTATATGCCATTATAAGACTAATATTATGTCCTGGGATATGTATAATGCATTTGAATTTTTTCCTTTCTACAATTTAGCACCTTAAGGCCTCTCACTCTTTTTCCTTTTTCAAAGCCTCATCCTTTCTGTTGAATTAAAAGACCACCATCTCCTACCCCAGACCACTCTCCCACAGTTTTGAGGAGAAACCTTCCCCGTATTGCTGTTGTCAGGTGCTGTCAAATGAATTCCAACTCATAGCAACCCTGTGTGTTACAGAGTAGAACTGTCCTGTAGGATTTTCTTGGCTGCATTCTGTGGAAGCAGATCATCAGATCTTAAGACTGCTGGGTGGGTTGGAACCACCAGTCTTTCAGTCAGCAGTAAAGTGTTTAATCATTTGTGCCACCAAGGCTCCTTGACTTCAAAACCTTCAGAAGTGTCCTCTGGCCTCCCTCTGCAATGGAGTATCAATCTCTGAAGGCACAAACTCCATGTCAACCCCCAACCTATCCCAATTTAAACCTTTAAATGGCTTCCTCAGACTAACTCACTGCTGTCAAGTTGGCTCCGACTCATAGCGACCCCCCCTTGGGTTTCCAAGGTGGTATCACTATGGAAGTAGATTGCCCAACCTTCCTTCTGAGGAGTGGCTGGTGGGTTTGAACCGCCAGCCTTCTGAGTAGCAGTCAAATGCCTCAGGCACTACACCACCAGCGCTCCCTTCCTCAGACTAGAAAATCAAATTCCTTGTCCCGGCACACCATGTTTCCTGAGTTAGGATGGGGTAGGTTATATTGCAATGACAAATAAGCCACAGATCCCAGTGGTTTAAATAAAGCAGCAAAGGCCTATAGCAGGCTGGCTGGGGGGCTACGCTCCCATGTCATCATCCTTCCTCCAGCACCCAGTGGACAAAGCAGATACCATCTATTCTAGAATATCGTTGGGTGCCAGGATGAAGCACCAATGGCTCAGAAGGCTTCCACCCAGAAGTGCCATAGGTCACTTCTTCACATGGATTATTAGCCAGAGTAAGTTACATGTCCACACTTGACTTCAACAAGATGAGACAGCATAATCCTCCCTCAAGACAGGGTGGCAAATACTGGAAAACCAGAGCAGTCCAGATTAAGTAAGAAGAAAGGCTTGGTGATCTACTTCCAAAAACTAGCCAATGAAAATGTTATGGATCACAGTAGAAGATGAGCCTCCTAGGTTGGAACAAGAGAGCCACAACAATGGAGACTCAAGCATTCCAACGATTGTGAAGATGGCATAGGACCAGGCAATGTTTGGTTCTCTTGCACACGAGGTTGCCATGAGTCAGAGCCTAGGCAGCAGCTAACAACAGCCTCCCTCCACAAGGGCACACCTTCTTGCCCTACTTCCCACCCCAGGCCCCCTCACCAGGGCCCACTCAGTCATGGCAGAGGGTGGCATGTGACTGGCTCCTTGCTCTGTTGTAGACAGCGGGGTCCCCGAGCCACCCGTGTGCGTGGTCACTACGGCTGCCATAGACATCCACCAGCCCAACATCTCCTCCGACCTCTTCTCTGTTGACGTGCCCTTGAAGCTAGGCAGCAATGGCACCTGCACCAGCGCCACCTCTGAGAGCGCCTCTCACTCCACGCGCAGCTCAGTCACCCGGGCCCAGAGCGACAGCAGCCAGACACTGGGCTCCTCCACGGACTGTAGCACTGCCCGAGAGGAGCCATCCTCTGAGCCTGGCCCCTCTCCCCTGACGCCGCCGCCACCTCCACTGCCCCAGCAGCAGCTGGCAGAGGCCAAGGCTCAGGACTTGCTGTCCTCCCTGTCAGAGGACCCCTGCCCGTCCCAGAGGGCCTTGGACCCAACCCCCCTCACCCAGCCCAGCCCAGCGGGTTCAGCCCAAAGTAGCCCTGAGCTGGAGCACAGGGTAAGTCTGTTCAACCAGAAGAACCAGGAGGGCTTCACCGTCTTTCAGATCAAGCCTGTCATCCACTTCCAGCCCGCGGCTCCCGCACTGGAGGAGAAGTTCAAATCTTTGGAATCCAAAGAGCAAAAGTTGCACAGGATCCCTGAGGCCTAGAGCCTCCAGGTGGGCTGGGTGGAAGTAAGGGAGACAGCCATCTCGAAGCTCTCCCGGGACCCTGGAAGCCTCCAGGGCCCATGTGTGGGACCCAGGAGCCTGCCTGGCCTCCCTCAGGTGCTGCCTACCTCCAGGGAGGTGACACCAGGCCAGGAGGCCACACGCCTCAGACCTCAAAGCCCAGAGCTGGCGCCTTCTCTGGTCCTGCTCAGGGGAGGGTGGTGCTCGTGGCTGCGTTTTTTTTGTTTTGTTTTGTTTTTTTTAACCATTTTTACAAAAACCAGCCCGTGGCCCAGCTTCAGCAGGGTGGAGCGCGGGAGCCAGCTCCGTTTCTTCCGTTGCCTTCGTTCCTGACGCCCAGCCTGGACCCTCGGGATCGGGAACAGCACTGTGAGCAGGGGCTCTCCAGCCCTGCCACCCAGGAGGACGCCTGGGTGGAGCCTACACAATCACAGAAACCATCTGAGCCTATTCTGTTTGTCCTCATCCTCTCATCTCAGCATGAGCGTTTCGGAGTATTTTCAAGACAAATCTAGTTTTCATCTTTACAGGACATAAAGGGACGGATGGGGGTGGGGTGGGGTGGGAAAACAGGGGTAGGGGATCAGCCATTTTCCAACTTTGGCTTTAATAATAAAAACCAGCTGCACTGAGACATCCAGTGGGTGGGGTTTTTCTTTGGTTGCCAGGCCCAGGTGAAGGTATTCCGAGTAGTGTTTGGGCTTGGGTTGGGTCTGGAGAAGGCCCACCAAGGTAGCCTCAATCTCTCTCTGGCAGGCCTGAGGCCTTTACAAAATCCAGGAGAGCCCTGGAGGAGGTAGGAAGCTCTCACACTTCCTTCCTGAATGACCCTGTACCAGTTTCTTCTCCTCTGGGATCTCCCTACCAAAATGGAGTTTGTAATTTTGCTTTCCTCATGCATGACTCCCACATTCAGCTCCCTGGCCCAGGGCTCCATCCCAGTCTGGTGTCTAAGGTGCCTGCTGCGCATCAGGCTGTGTCTGGCACCAGAAGCCTGCAAAGAGGGAAGCCGAGAGACAGGAAGCATGGCAGTTCTTCCTGTTGGCCTGTCATGCCCTTCCTCCAGCGGAAAGCAAAGGCCAGGCCACGGTCAGCCACTGGGCTGCAGCCACAGCTGCCCTGACGCCTACGGCTGTCCACAGGGCTGTTGTAGGTCTCTGGGAGGAGCCCGGGAACCTGGTGCAGATGGAGAGAAAGCTTTGGCTTTCACAGCTCCCTGGGGGGCCATAGCCTGGAGTTATGGCTGTCGGGCTACTGGGGTGGTAAGGATAGAGCCCGAGCACTCCCTGGAAGGTTTGCAGTTCTGGGGAATGGTTCCCTGCACTCACCTACTCTTTCAGAGAGCCCACTCTGGGAGTCAAGGGAGCTGGTGTGGGGCTGTCCTGGAAGGGAGGGAGGTCTGGGTAGCAGCCTGTCTTGGATGATAACAGCAGTAAGGGCTACTACTTATTTCCTGCTGTGACAAGTGCTCTATGAAGATTTTGCTCTTTATCACAGACTTGCAAATTGGGCACTATTGTCCCTGTTTGACAGAGAAAACAGGCTTAAAATAATGAAATGACTTGTCCAAGGGCACACAGCCAAACTGCAGCAGCAGGATGCAAACCTAGATCTGTCTGGTTCAAGATGCCCTGCTGGATGAAAGTGGTCAAATGAGCTTCCTGGAGTCAAATCGGGTGCCATCAGGAGAACCAGAGATGGAAATCAGAATGCTGGACCCCAGAAGGGATCTTGGGGGAGGATGCCTGAGGGGTCATGGACACTCCAGGCTGGAGTGACCAACCAGCCCTCTCTGCAGATCCCCAGTGCCCTTCCTGCAGGGGCAGCCCCCCACTTAGCCTGTGGCCATGGTGCCACCCTGGCATGGCAAACCTGTCAATGAGGACAACAGGACTCGGAGCCAGCAACGCTGGTGGCCAGCCCACAGGGGAGCCTGGGCCAGAGCCCAAAGCCATGGTTCTAAGCCTGCCTGGGACTGGGCAGCAGGAAGGCCCTCCCAGAGCGATACAAGTGGTCCTCCTCCAGCCAGCCCTGGAGCTTGGCTTTTCAGAACAAATCACACACGCTGTTGGGATTTTCACAGCAAAGACCAGGCAACGGTCAGTTGCTGGGCTGCAGCTGCAGCTGCCCTGACCCCCACAGCTGTCCACGGGGCACATTGTTGGTCTCTAGGAGGAGCCTGGCAGCCTGGTGCAGATGGAGAGAAAGCTTTGGCTTTCAAGGCTCCCTGGGGGGCCATAGCACCTAGCCATGGCACAAGGACACCCAACCACCATGCTGGAGCCCAAACAGGCAAACCCAGGTTCAAATGGGTATCTCAAGGCTGGAGGGACATCTGGATGACTTCCTACAGCCCCTATACCAACACCTCACTCCCCCCAGGTGCTGCTGTGCACGTAGGGTAAGTCAAAATCTGAGTACCCATATTCTCAGCCCAATCCGGTTTCTGGTTCTGCTACGTAGCTCCAAGTAAGTTCTTGAATCTGCTTCTTTTCCCTATACAACAAGAATAATAACTCCTGTGCTTCCCACCCCCTGCCTGGGCTGCTGGGATAGCTAATGACATAATGGAAGGGAAAAGCCCTGGGAGAATGTTTTAAGGGAGACACAAAGAGAAGGCATCCTTATTAATAATAGATGCCGGGATGTTTCACTGCCAGCCCACATTCAGCACTTCTGGGCCAGGCTGCCCAGAAGAGGCTGTTATTTCCTTTGCTGCCCCCCATAGTTTGGTTGATAGCGGTGGGAGTATGGGTGCTGAGAGGCTAAAAGGATGTGTGTACCACTCCACCCCACGCTGCCCCACCCCCAGCCCTGAAGCCAGCTTGCTCCTTTCCTGAGCTCATCCCTGCTCACACACCCTTTTAGCTCCCCTGTAAACAATGACTTAGGGTCGCCCTGAGTAAGTGAACACTCGGTTGTTCTGCATAGGGAGACCGGAGGCCATATCTGCCACATTCTCCCTTTTCTAACCAGTTGCTGTCAACTTCAACTCACAGCAACCCTGTCTGTATCAGAGAAGCACTGTGCTCCATAAGGCTTTTAGTGGCTGGTTTTTGGAAGTAGATCTCCAGAACTTTCTTCCGAGGCACCTCTTGGTGGACTAGAACCTCCAACCTTTCTGTGAGCAGCCAAGTGCGTTAACCATTTGTGCCACCCAGGGATTCCTTCCCTTTTCTAATACAGGCCCAAACCCTGCATTTTCCCCACATTAATTGAGCGAGAAGTATATAACTACTCTGGATTTCTTTTCTTTTCTTTTTTTTTTTTTTTTTTAACTTGAGTGTTGAAAAGTTTGGTATTGTCTCCTGGTATATAGTTAATTTAATTATCCAAAGAGAATGATGGAACATTTGCTGCTAGAATTTATTGCAAGCTACTAGAGAGAGAGACAGTGCTGGCACGATTTTATGCAGAGCCCAGGCTGCAGCATAGGGGCACAGGCTGCCTATTCATCCTGAAACAAGCAAATGAAATGGACTACCCCGGAGATCAATCAGGACATTAAACACTGTGATGAATGTGGCAGAACTCTTCAGGGCCTGAGATTTATGGTGCACCTTTCACCAAGCGCTCCAGGAGCCTCCCCAACATCAATTAGGCCTCATAACTAGCTAGGCTTCCTTGTGTCTCCACTGCATAAGAAAGTGGTGTGGGGTTCTGGGACCCAGGCTTTGCTGCCTGCTACCAAAGATGGCCAGAGCTACCCAGATCCCAATAAAAGACCCCTGCTTCCTTGAGCAGAAAAAGAGTGGTCCAGAATGGAGGACTGTTAGGCTAGAAGTGGACTCAGGGACTGGTGTCCAACCCCCGCACTTTCTAGAGGAAGAGTTGTTATGTTCATGGGTGCTTCTGTGCCTTGTCCACACTGAGCCCTCTGCTGATGACATACTTCACCTGGTGGGTTTTGTCCCATCTGAACTCAGCTTGGCTGTCACCTCTTGTTTTCTCCACTTTAGCCCACCCCAGCCAGGCTGGGTTAGACACATCTACTGCTTCCACAGAGGAACTCGGGATGTAGTTGTGAGTCCCTAGGCATCTGCTTTAAGCTCTTGAAGCTAAGGTTGTCTCATCTGTAGAGAATAACCCTACACCTTGTAGGACTATGAGACTTAGATGAAAGCATGTGTGCAAAGGACTCAGTACAGCATCTTGGGCATAGACAGCCCTCAACAATGGTTATTATGGTCTCCATCTGCCTGCCCTGTTTAAGATCTGCCAACATACTCAGATTAAACCTTGAAGATATCTTGAAAAGTTACCTTGTTTAATTTTCCATTTCACAGATGATAGGAATAAAACTCACAATGGAAAGGAACATGACCAAGGTTCCTCTATGAGGCAGTGACAGGCCAGGAGAAGAACTTGAGTGTCTGGTGGCAGTCCACTTTACGGTCTCCAGGTTATAGACTATAATGTCCTCCATTCTTTTTTTTTTAAAAATCTATTTAAATGTTATTATGATTTGGGTGAAAGTTTACAGAGCAAATTTGTTTTCCCTTCAACAGTTCATACACATTTTGTTTTGTGACGTTGATTGCAATGCCCACAATGTAACATGTCTTTTCCTACTTCCTCCCTGTAGTTATCCTTTCCCTGTGTCATTCTACTGCCCTTCTGATCTCCATGGTTGATTGTTGTAGGGAGTGTATCTACTTGGTGTAAAATGTTCACCCTATATGCCTGTCTACTCTTTGGCTGGAAGCCATGGGAGTGAGTTCCATTCTAGGCCCAAAGGGTGACTAGCGACCATAGTCTTGAGGGTCTCACCAGTCTCTATCAGAACAGTAAGCCTGGTCTTTTTACAATTTTGAGTTTTGTTCCACATTTTTCTCCCACTCTATCCAGGATCTCCAATTTTTATCCTTTTCCAAGTGGTTGGCATTGGTAGCCAGGTATCATCTACTTCTTCTGGTCTCAGGGTCCTGTAGGCTGACGTTTCCATGGTCCACTAGTCCCTTGGACCAATTGTTTCCATGCATTTTTTTATTTTCTTAACTCTTCTTTGCTCCAGATAAGAAGAGACCAATTGTTGCATCTTAGATGGCTGCTCTCAATCTTTTAAGACCCCAGTCATTACTCATCAAAGTAGAATGTAAAACAGTGTTTTTGTGTAGTATGGTATGCCAGTTGAGCTTGTCCCCCACAAACAGGGTCCCAAGCCTGCAGGCCCAGCGTTTAATGTCCCCCATTGAGCCCCACACCGGGAAGGTGGGCAGTCCTCTAGCTGAGGGTGTGTGTACAGAGGCAGCCATAGTTGGCCTTTAACCACCAGCTAAGCTGTGGGAGGGAAGGCAGGCAAAGCCCAGGCAGGTGCAGTTTTCCCAAGGCCTTACTGCTCATCAATCTGGACCACAGGATCTAAGTGCTAGCTTACTTCCCAAGACCTTCCTAATTCCATCAATACTCTGTGCTTCTAATGGCAAGCTTCCTATTTCCAGGCAATGCGAGCCAGAAGACAGAATCCTGGAGAAGCTGGAGGCTGCTAGGAGACAGTACAGTACAGAGCAAAGTTAAGCTCTTCAGACCTAGGTTACAACTCAGGCCCCACATCTCACTGACTGTGCCACTGGTCATTTTTCTCTCATTTCCTTAGCCAGAAAGTAGGGGTATGATACCCACTTCAGTGACTGT